TCGTGGGACTCAGCTGAGGGGGACAGAAGGCTGACCTCGAGGCTCTTTGCTCTTCATTTCTTTCATCTGGCCTCTTTTTAACTTCATCAGTGTCAACAGGATTGCAAATATTCATTTTAAATGGGCCGCCATTGTGACAAATTCAGCAAAATGCGACTCGACTAGAAAAGAACACAATAGGTGAGCTAAAATACTATATTTTAGACTCTAGGCTAATTAAGTTAGCTGTTGGGCAATATGATAAAATGCATAATAATAGGACTATATACATTTTTCAACAGTTTCCAGACCTCAGCATATCATTTCTTTGTTGTTGTTTTTTGACTAAGGATGCCATCTGTTTAATATATTTGATTGTATTAGGCCAAGTTGCGAATCAATGAGCTGTAGACTTTCTTTGTAATTTCTAATAAAGCATGAAAGGATTAAATTGATAAAGGAGCCCTACGTACACAGACACTACTATATGCAATACTATGGGTGCAATGGATTACAAAAGTTATGGTTGGGATCTTTTCACACGTGCTGATTTACATCAAGATTTATTTTTTCCTTGCTGAAGCAGAGGTACGTTTCAGTGCCGTTTGTTTGTCTGTCTGTGTGCAGGATTATGCAAAAACTACCAGGAATGGATCTTGACCACTTTCTTTAAAAGTGCAAGATAGGGACTGAGTTTCTGAGTACCCTTCTAGTTTACTTGAAAAAGTAACAGTGGTAGTGTAACTGTATTTCACTCTATGATGGCTAAACTTTAAAAATAATCCGTGCGTGCTGAACCGTGGGTGAAGATCAGAGTGAATCACGGACCAGCAACACTACAAAAACACAAACTAAAACAAAAATGAGGCTGTGACACAGACATAGTGAAGCACAATAATTCGTGCACCATCTTTGAGATGGCACTTGAGCCCACTAAAAAGTGAAGCGTCTCAGTGGAGAGCTTAAATCAATGAAGTGAAATATTCCTCTGACGCCACTTAGAATGACAGAAATATATTTCCCTTTCTTTTTTTTTAACGTTCCTCTATTTTTGAAGCCTACACACCAAATAAAAATTAAGCCCATCCAGGGACCCAGAAGGTATTACCACTCTTACAAAAAGGAGAACACACCAAACAGTAGCTCACAATCCATTCCCGACTTAAAGAACACTACATTTGATGGATATAATGAGCACTACTGGTCCAAATAATATACAATACTTTTTTTGAGGACTAAGCATGTCAACCGTGGAAAATGTAGAATGTCTAAACAAGTTTAGGATTTATGCTATGTACACTCAATGGGTACTGTATTAGGGAAACCTATGAACTCTATTTCAAATATACTGCTTGAATGAGATTCTAAAGGTATAGCAAATAAAGTTGAGGGTTGCATTGTCTTTGAACAGACTAAATATTGTTGTCATGAAGATAAAAGCTTACAAAACAACAACTGCATTGACTGCTGATTCTTCTTGAAGTTGGAAAGTGGAAGATAGAAATGCTAATTGACTAATAACTTGACATTTTTACTGGTGATTTTCTTTTAACAGCTTTCTGTATTTTAATTAAAATGTTGGGAAAAAATGTGTTCACACTTCCAAATGAAGCACAAAATAATATACTACTGTGTTATTCAGCCGCCTCAAGAAGACTTTTCCCACAGAACAGGCGTTGGAAAAGCTGGGCTTGTCTCATTATCAAGTTTTGTCTAATATTCAGGCCAGTGTAGGATTTTTGAGGACTGTGCTAATACATTTCCTTCATGGTCTGGGTGAGGATCTGATGGTGGGTCATGAGGCTTGGAGTGAGACCTCAAATTTTCCCAGCAGGAACTGGCAAAAGAGTTTCTCTCCAGGGAGAAAAGCTGAGGAAACCGCTGCCCTGCTGTAACTACTAAAACCTTCCCATTAATGTAGCGAAACAGTGGCATAATTATTAAACTAAATATATTTATATAGTACGTTTAGAAACAACCTGACTAAACCAAAGTGCTGTACAAGATCTCAGATAGGCTGCAAAAAAAATGTGTGCAGATATTTTATTACTTGTACAATCAATTAGTAAAACAAAAGAACATAGTATAAAATGGCAAGACAGGCAAAAGGGAATAGCAACTTGTAAGATTCATTTCTAAAAGATACATAAATATGAAATGATATGATCTTTAAGAGCAGCCAGAAGCTGATGAAAACATGCATGTCTTGAGGTTTCTTGTGAGACATTAAATGGCATTGGGAACATTTAATGAAGAAGGCTGATACAAAGCTTTGGAACTGCTATTGCAAAGGCTGGGTAGTAAAAAGCAGTTAGTCTGATGATCTAAGAGGCCTTAAGGATGAATAGGGGCAAAGAAGTTATGAAATGAACCCAGGTGCCAACGCATCCGTGGCTATATAACACTAACAAAAGAACCTTAAAATCAATTATGTATTTAACTAGCAACCAGCAACTAAAAGAGCTTCGTGATTTGAGGATGGACGTTGTTTATGTTGTTGTAGTTGAATAGACCCTAGTACAGGGTTAATACATCACTTTCCAACGTATTCAGAAGACTAGGAAACAAACTGAACTCACACAAATCATCACCGGGATAAACACACACCCTGATGCACATGCACCCAAACACCCACAGTCATCAGACGGGACGAGCCAGCAGGACACACCCTCCTCGGGGGACCTGCCTGGCTGTCTCCACCCTTTACAAAGCCAGCATACAAATCTCCCACGAGGGAGTGCGTTAGCGAGGGGAAAGGAGGAGTTGGGGGGTTGGTACACAGAAAGGGGGGAGGATGTAACAGCACCACACCCCCACCCACACACCTCCCATACCCCATCATTACTGTCCCAAAGCGTCCACAAGGGGACTTAAAGAGAAACAGTGCTCTCCCCTCCACCCTGTCCCTGCTTCTTTCCATCCATTTCCCCATCGCTGCTGCCGCCGCCAACCCCCACCCACAGCCCCCAGATAACACCATGCAATTAGTGGCTCCCCGCTCCCGTCTCTTTCGCTCCCTTTCTTTACGTATACATTTATATATACATGTCTCTATAACTGTCGTCGTCTTCCCCGTGTGTGTCTGTGCAACTTTGCAGTGGCGTATTAGAGATCTGAGCGACTACAGACACACCCAAAATACCAAGCGGCCGAGCTTTATCTTAGCCTTTCTCTGACCCTCCCTTCTTCCCCATCCATCTCTCATCTTTCCCTCCGTCTATCCATCATTCCGTGAACAAATCTGCTGCGACGAGCCCCCGGCAAACGCGACGCTGTAATTATGTTAACATGCCGATGTGACTACTTCCTGACTGGAAGAGACTTACATCCTGCTCCCAAGGGGCATCTTCTATTGGCCGAAAACAAATTTTGGCACCTACGTCAGAGAGGAAAATGGTTTCACGTGCTGTGCCCTGTGAACAATGTGCTTTTAGGTGGTTTATTTTTAATTCGGCGAAATGAGTGAAAGTAAATGAAGTGTATCCAAGTGGAAAAAACAAGGCAGGAGCTGGCATGTTAGATAAGCAATATCAGCTGACATGGCAGCTGAAGCATAAACACCGCACAACTTGGCACTGATGGAAAGTAAATAAATACATTAACTTTAGTAGTATTCTCCTTTTAAGCTATGATAGACTTCTACCTTTCAGTGGGAAACACTGCGTTCATTTGAAAGCTATAGTTAATGATTACTTTTCAGATTGCAATTTTGCATTTAAAAAAAACTACGTAGTGACATAGATTAAATAGGCCACTGCTAGGGCTTCACAAATTCACATTTAAATAAACAGAGCACTGATTTCACTTCCATATTGTGCTACTTTCCTGTCAATGTACAAGTCTTTGAACAAGAATAAGATTTAAAATAAGGTTCCTCTCCACCCATAAAAAGTGCAACTCGTAGACACAAACTATTATTTAAACTGTGCCCACAACACTTCAGTTGCTGAACATCTGTTTATTGATGGACACTATAGTTTACTGATGTCCCCTAAACGCCTCACATGCAGATCAACGTAGAAGCGAATGAGGGGGCTGTGCACAGAGAAGCTTCTAGTCCCCACTCACTTACTGTTGCGCAGCAACTCAGACAGATATGTATAAATTACTTTGGAATGAGTGAAATAAGCCGTCCTAATGCGCGATTATTTTAATCGTCAGAGCACACAAATTAAATGCTGATATCACAGTCTTTTAAGCTCATTTAATCACAGGAACCGGAAATCGCAATCACGATTAATATTCGATTAATTGTGCAGCTTTCACCAAGTTTTCACCAACTCCTGGGGCAAACATCTGGCTATTTAACTGCCAAATATTTAAGTAGGTTCACCAGCTGCTCTCTAACTGCGTCTGTTTGCCATTTGGTGCTGAGCTGCCTGCTGAGGCCAAAAAAATGGCACTATGAGAGTGATGAGTGAACCAAAAAAAACAATAAAGTTGTGGGCCAGGCTGCTGATAGAGGTGAAAATTTTCTGTTGATTCGTTACTACATGGGACTGCTTTTACATTATCACATGTTTTGACCTTCAGTATGATGATACTAATTATTTTCATATGTATACTTGTAATCAAGGACTTATACATGGTTTTATCTCTACTTTAAATTAAGTAAAGGATCTTGAGTATGTCTGCTATAATTGCAAGTTAGATTGCAATGGTAACCAACATCTTGATCGTCAGAAATACACACACACCTAACCTCAAATGAGAACCTTCGAGAGTGAAATAATAACACACATAGGAACACAACCTAATATGCTCAATAATTAGTCCGCACTATTGACTACTTTCAATGTTGACTGAGGTAAAACACGTGCACACGCTCATGTTGTTTTCATTTATTTTCATTAAGCAGCAGTGGCTCGACACAGCTGGAAATTTGCCCACGCGGCAGGAATCATGTAAATACACTGAACATCCATCATCAAGACTTAATGTTCAGTGTGTTTCTTGCCAAAAAAAAAATAATTACAGACACACATACCTCCTAATACTCACACACACCCTTCTTAACTCACCTGTGGACGTAGTGTAGCTGGTGAACGGAGTCGATGGCCAGAACCATCTCTGCCAGGTAGAACTTGGCCATTTCCTCTGGCAGCCGGTCCTCAAACTTGCTGAGCAGAGTCAGCAGGTCACCACCCACATAGTAGTCCATGACCAGGTACTAGAGAGACCAAGTGACAGACAGGAAGCAAGAAAACGTGAGAAAGAAATGATGTAGCAAGACAGCTAATGACAGAAAACAGAAATAATTAGTGATCAAAGGTGCAGTACAATTACAAACACTTTTTAGACCAAAAAAAAGTGAGACAGCAAGATAATTTATGTGGAAAAAAAATACAAAAGAGTCAAAAATATACCAGCCCCCATCTATGCTTCCCTTTTTTCTCTCACAGTGTTGCTATAACAGAGGCACCTAAATGGTTTAACTTTTGAGGGTTTTTCTAAAAATAAATGACTGGACGGACAGTGGTGTATATTTTTATAGCTGTGGGGAGTGTCCGTGGTAAAGCATTTGTTGTGAGAATGTGGGAAATGGAATGACAAGCAGTTCTGGCATTTGAACTCAGGGTCACGGAGAGAGGAGAGAGGACAGACTGTCAGGTTAGAGGGAGGACGGTTATCTCCAGCAGCCAGTGGCTCACAACCAATCAGCTGGCTCCAAAGTCCTTCTTCTGGTCTTTCACAAATAGGCTTTTTGGCCCGGTGGACCTCTATTGCTCAATTTCCTACAATTCTAAGTCATGTTGTGTTTTGTGGTAAGAAGTGAATGTGCTGGTCAGTGTCTGGCACTTCACCAGCCATCATGTGGAGGTGGTGTTGTGTTCTATAAATGAACTGTATGGAGCGATTCAGTGTAAGTGGCAGGTGGAGCTGCTCAGCTACTAACGGCAGAAGACAGTAGTTGTTGTAGAAAGCACAAAAGCAAGCAAATGCACACATATGCATAGCGAAAAAGAAGAAGAGTCCAACGTTACCAGATTATTGTCGTCCTGGAAGGCGTAGTGCAGGGTGGTGATCCACTGGCAGTCCCCATTTACCAACACATCCCGCTCCTCCCGAAAACACGCCGTCTAAAGAAGACACAAAAACACTTCATGCTTAACATAACCTAAAATTCACACATACGAACAGCAAGAGGTCAGAAATGCACACTTGGAGCTGGGAGGGATTTAGTATCTTGGCTCAGTTTTAGGGTATTTGATAACCTTCATGAGCAGTGTTGTCCAGCTGTGTATTTTCATTTTTGTAAAGACCAGGTTATAGTCTCTCAAAGCAACTTAAGATGCTGTTTCGAGCAAAAAGCTGGTCGTCACAGAGAGAGACGATATCATTTAAAAACAGGTAAAAGGGATCGATCGATTTGGTTTTTGAGTGCATCAAAATATACACCCCAGACATGACAACTGTGCTGTAACTGTACAGTGAGGGGAGCAAGATCACTATGGATGGATCTTCATGTCCAATATGACTGAATTCGAAACCTGACAAACTAAAACCAAAACTAAAAGAAGTCTAAACAAGAGCATTCCTGAGCACGAGGGAATTTTATAAAAGTCCAACACATGTGCAAGCAGAAAAAACGTGTCCTGCCTCAAACACACCCTGACCTCCAGTCGCTCTTTCTGTTCAAATGCCTTGACCAAAAAGGCAGCAGGGTGCAGAAAAGTAGCCACTTAGGGGAATTCAGAGAGAAAAAACCTGTCAGTAAAAGCCCAAATCCGATGGCCTCTGGCACATTCTAACGCCATTATTACATTAAATACACTTATCTTAATTACTACATATTTAAATGGGTTTGCCTGTCGGATTGTAAACAAACAGTGAATTACTGTGAAAGAGTACTGGACTTCTTGCCCATTTTGGCTGATACAGTCTGTAAATAACTATAATTATTTGAAAACACGCCAGTTCTTGACTGATTAGAACTTTTGTTTTACCTTATTTACTGACACCTTCACTGTAAGATTCAGCAAGACTTGCTACAATGACAGTTATGATAGTTGATTTCTGGACTATAAGCCGGTACTTTTTTCAAACCTTTGAACACTGCGGCTTAAACAATGACGCGGCTTTTGATGGATTGTTCCGATTTTTACGAATTTGCCTCGAGACGAAAGTGACGTTGAGAGCGACAATGAAAGAGAGACTGAGGAAGTGTGTGACGAAGTAATTCTGAGGCTGTTCAATTCCAACACTGAAGAAGACGACTTTAGTGGTTGTAGCGCGCAGGAGGAAGATGAAGATAGCGATCAATGACTTTTCCTGGTAGGCTACTGTATTTTTTATTTATTTTTTTTTTAACCAGTCGTGTTACAGGCACTGTTTGGAAAAAAGCATTTACAGTACGTATTTGTGTATGTTACAGATACGCATTTAATTAAAAGTTTAAAAAATCTTTCTGTGTAACATCTTTCTATATAAATATCTCATGGTACAACGTGGACACCTGCGGCTTATAGACAAGTGCAGCCTGTATATGTACATAACTTATTTTCTTTTAAAAGTTAGTGGGTGTGGCTTATATTCAGGTGCGCTCAATAGTTCGGAAATTACGGTAATGTAATGTTTTTGTTTTGTACTAAAAACTGTTTTCAGTAAAACGTCTTATCTAACCTATGGATGTGTTTTAAACTATTTTGAAAATGCTAAAATCATATGAATCTACTGAATCTCAACTTCTTGCTAAAAAAAACAACTTCTGTAAGAATTGCAAATGCAACAACCAATCAATTATTCATTTGTTCATTCATGAAGCCCGTCAGCGTCTCTGTGGCGTATTGTATATGGAAAATGCAGCACAATGCAGCAATGTCTGTGGTCATTTTAATGCTTACTGTGCAGTCTTCAAGTTGCTGCCACTTGTGTTTTCTAGTGTTTTCCGCACATCTAGTGAGGATGTCCCGGTCTGTGCATTAAATCAGTGCAATTCCACACATGTTTGGTCATCATCCATTTTGATAATAATTGTCAAACACGGAAGACACAAATTCACATAGAACATGTGAATGAGACTGATCACACTGTTTTGAAGCAGAGTAATTCTAACATGTACACGCAGAGCAAATTAAAACCGATTTTATTCGAATCAAACGCAAATACAATAAAAGTATTCTGCAGTTTGGTCGCAGCTGGTATGAATGGACAGCTCAGGCTCAAAACTCCTCTGTTAAAAAAAATCAGAAGAACAAGACAAAAGACAAATCTGACAAAGCGTTTACGACAGCTCCATGTTCAGTGAGTACATTCTACCCTGCTTTTATTGCTTTACATTGTTTCCCATGTCCAGGCGTTTGTACACGCAGACACACACATACATTAGGGAGCAGTTTAGGTTTGTGACGTATGAGGCATGAAGCCTGAAGACCCTGGAGACCTGGAGGAATGTCAGACTGTCAGGAAGAGGTCGATGAGAAAAACATGCATCGGCAGCTCGTGCCACTCAGGCAGCGACATGTTTTGCAAGAATCTATGAGTGTAGGCCTGACTTGAGTGTAAATAAATCAGGCTGTGGTTTCTCTTGACAGCAGGCCTTTCTTTTTTTTTCTTTTTTAGTTTTTTTTTTTTTTACAAAAAATGAATACTCAATCCTTAATATTATTATTATATTTTTTTAAATCCCCAAAACTGCAAGGGCATGCTATCTGTAACCAGTACTTGGAATGGTGCACCCCAAAAAGAGCATGAAAAGCCAGCAAGTGACACTCACCTCTGCTCGCTTCAGCATCTCCCACTTGTTGAGAATCTTCATAGCGAAAACTTTGTCAGTGTTTTTCACTTTTACCACTGCAACCTGCAACAAGAAAAGAGACAGTCGGAGTGTTAACAAATTTTATTAATTAGTTGTGTGCCAGCAAAGTTGGTGAAGAATGTGAAACCATTCAAAAACATTGATCGATTAGGAAACATCAAAAAGGATTTATCATCTCATCAGTGTGGAAAAAGAAAAAGAAAAGGCCAAGAACTGCACAGGAATTATTTTTGTGTGATCCTATTTCAGCAGCTCCACAAACAATAATCGCACAGTTCAGAAAGACATGAATGGGGGTTCCAAAGCTCTGTTAAAATGCTGCTCAAATTATCATTTTAAATCAGGATGTCCCGATCTGATTGAAGTATTATTTTGACTGGTATCGGGTTTGTTGAAACTCAGCCCGATTTCTTGTTTATGTCCATCTTCACACAGGTGTCATAAAGGGAGAGCACCATTTGCTGCATGATGTGGCTGAACTGTCTCACACTGCAAAGGACTTTTTCAAAAATTTGAAAATGAAAGCAACCCAGCAGCCACTGATAATATCTGCAATGAGAGCATTTTGCGATGTGGAAGTAACAGAGCTGCATTCGCTACTACCAGTATGATAGAGTACCTAAAAAATAAACACTCAGCAGAACACAGAAAGTTCACTCAGGTAAAGGCTGCACTGAAGCAAAACACCCTGGAGAATTGCTTGAAAAGGAGAAAAATGTGCTCAAGACGGTGACAAGGAAAAAACACTGAGTTCATCATGTCGAATGAGGGGTCCATTGCTGTGGTAAAGAACACAGATTTTTAGCGTCTAGTAGAGTTTTTACAATTTAAACCACTTCTAACAATGCACCTGAGCTTTACAATAACGTCCCAAAGTCTTTCATCAGATGTGACTGCTGTTGGCTTTAACACTTTGAAGAGAAATTTCAATTTATTTTATTTTTTAGTATAAAAGCTTTATTATAATTCTGCACAAGCAAACTTGTTGTTTATTTTTTGTGAGTGCAAATGTTGAAAGTTAGACTGTTGCAGCACTAGCATTAGGAATATCTTATTCATTTTGGTTGTTCTACTTTTGTTGTTATAACGCAACACTAACTGTGATAAGAGCTATTTATGAAGACATATTTTAGGTTGCTTACTTGGATATTTAGTTAAAAACAAAAAAAAACCATGCTGCAAGTTTGTTTACTTTGTTAAGTTGTACAATAAAAACAGCTTGGGAGCAGGCAGTTTTGTTTAATGCATTGCAGAGCTTTTCAGTCAGCAAGCATATACACTGGATTGATTTTAGCAACTTCAGTGTACTTGAAATTTGCACTGCGCAGCCGCATTTTTGAGGAAAATTGTATCGTTATCGACTCAGACACTCAATATTTAATGACTTGGATTGGACTGGGGGCAATAAAGAATAATTAGATTATGACCACATGAAGCAGGAATAAAGGATTGCACAGAGTAAATTCAAAGAAAAAAGAAGTGGAGATAAGGAATCAAATAAAACACTGGGTAAGAGGAGAATGGGAAGTGGAGGGGGAGGAAAGAATAAGGATGGTGGCAAGACAAAAAAGGACAACATGAATGAGAAAAGACAAGGACGGAGAACCAAAAGAATGGAAGGTAGGGAGGAAAACATGGCAGAGGAGAACAAAGTATGGGGGAAGGGGAAAAAGCAGTGGCAGGAAGTGACCATAGTCACCACCAGGCAGCTTTAGTGCTGACCTACAAGGCCGGCAGACTCACACCACCTGAAGTCACGCTCACATTCTTTATTAACAGCCGTGCACAGCTGGGCACCTAAATGTGCGTCACGTTTTCTATTAGCAAAGTCTGTGTGAGAAAAAAATAGAGCATGTGTCTCATCACTGTGTCCCATTATTTGTTAATGGGCACAAATCAATATTGGGTGGACAGATTTGTGCAGATGTGATGATTTGGAAAGAAGTCGCTGATACCGATTATCAATACTGTATTTACTGTTAAATTCACAAAGGAGCCATAGAAACGTCTGTGTGCTATTAACTATGAAAATAACTTCTCCAAGCTCCCATCTGGATGCATTTTAGATAATGAACCTACACACACAAAAATGAACACGATGCTATTAGACACAATACATAAAGTACATCCCATTCGTTTAGCATATGCACACAACCACATGCACACTTGTATCCGGTCAATATAGGGCAGCACGAACAATTGAAAATAAGAATCCAAAAATTTGCTTCCCACAAAATGAACAGGATTGACTGTGATGTAGATGTTTAAAATGTGTGCTCTGCTTATAGAAAACTCCACTCACAGAAAGCAGCCCATGCAGATAGAATCACTCTGTTTTAACTTCGGAAAATCTGACATGAGAACAAAATATTTTGCTCTTTTCAAGCATTTTTTTGTCTTACACCTGTCTGAGCTGCTGCACTGCAGTAACTGAAAGGAAACTAGAGGCTTCCCTGTGCACACTATGTCAGGCATTTATAGCTCATCACTAAATTGTCGTGTCTTTAAGTTGCTTTGAATACAATACTATTGGCCTCTACACACTAAACTCGGGTGAAGACCATTTTGAATCTTATTTTGGTGCAAAGACTAGCACATTAGCAGTGGAAAGGAAAAGCAGTGCTTCGTTTATTTAAATGTGAAAAAACTGCAATGAAACGATGCATTTCATCTCTATCATCAATCAGGATAAATAATAATGACTGAAAATGGGCCATCATCAGCTGAATAATGAGGCTCCACATAGGACACTTTGTCAATACGGTCTTAGATATTAAATTGACACAACTCGCAAGAATGAGTAATGTAAATGGTGGCGATCTCATTGACTACCAGTGTTATCTTTATAGCAGCAATTTTATCATCTTTGACGCTATATCCAGTTCAGCTTCTCAGTTCACATTGTTTTTCTTTCTCTTCATCTTGTACCATCTTAACAGCATAACATCTGCCAGCTTTCCCTTGACTGGTAATTGCTAAACATTGCCTTGACAAACTTCCTCAGCTCAGCCTTTACATTTTGCCAAAAAAGGAGCTGCGCAAGCTGCTGTGACAGACCACTGCGAGCTGACAGCCAAAGCGCACGTTTCATGCAAACTTATGTCTTTGTGATGTCTCATTCTCTTTCATTTCTTCTACTCCAGTGACCCATAAAGAAAAAATCCTTTTCCTTTGGAATCTTCAACTAAATTAAGGACTTTGGTTTTTCAAAATCCCACATAGAAAAATGCATAAATGGATAAAATAAAAAGAATCTAAAAAATCCAGAAAAAAACAAGTAAACAGGCAGCGTGGAATTTTAAAGTGAACACTAACACACAGAAGAGTAGTGAAACAAACACAGTCACCCTGTGCAACAGAGGGGTCTGCAGTCTATTAAATTAGCCGGGGGAATGCTGCTAATGCAATACAATGATAACATTCCTGCAGTGTTTGGATTTCCCCTAGTGATCCCTCACCAGAGGAGAGGAGGAACGAAAGAGGAAGACAGGAGAACAGGGGGGAGTGCACTGTTTTTGGCAAGGCTTGGCTGTTTTTGTCTTATCCTCCATCTCCCGACTGTTCTTTCCTTCATCTTGTCCTCCGTGTCAGGCCTGGTGTCCACTACAGGAACCAAGCAAGACTAAGCAAGACTATTTCTGTCTGTATTCATAAGAGAAAGTATGCGTTGTAGGTGTTTTCTGCGTTCTGCAGTCACTGAGGATGATTTGTTAGCTGAGAGTATCGACTGTGTGTTCAAAATTGGTTTTATCAGTTAGAACAGGCAGGAAACAACCCACAGCAGTTAATCTACTTACAGACTAAGTATTTTTAAGACTGAAAATAAGCCATCTTTCTGCCAAAATGGCTACAGAACCGACAGACTTAACAACCAAGACCATATTTCCAAGCATGCGGCTGCTGACTAGTGACCCAATGCGACACAGCTGAAAAATGTACAAAACCGACTTCTTGCAAGTGACTCCAAAGTTACAGTTCCCATGATGACATACATCTTTAGCAAAGTCAGCGGTTGGAAACCTGTAACTTTAGCATTGTTTGACTCAAGTCCTAACCACCAACTACACCAGACTGAGCACCGTTTGGCCCGCTTCAGTTGATGAAGAGGCAACTGCGTTCTAATGGGAGCGTTCTCACAGGCAGTAAGCCAGTACACACTGGTCCATTCATCAGACGAGCTCCACAACATCACGCACCAGCGCCATTTCTCTGCCTGCTGCTGACAATGGGAGGATAAAATCAAAACATCCTGCACTCAAGCTCTTTCGACTCCCTCTCTGACACTCAAGTATTTTTTCTTTACTTTGTTTTCCTGTGTCTGAGTCTGCCCATCTGAGGCTGTCTCCTTCGCTGTCTGCTACCACTATCTCTTTTCCACTCGAGGCCTTCCCAAAATACACATTTTGTGCGTTTGCGTGGTCTGACTTTCAGCCTGTCATCACTGTCTTCCGTGTGGAACATAGAAAGACTATCTTACTCTGCAACAGCTACAAAAAAAATAAAAAAATCTGGCAATTGTTCCTGTTAGTTTGTGACACCACTGAGGGACCTAAAGGTATCACTGCAAACAAAAATGCAGGAAAATGTGAAGTCGGGCTGAAACAACAAGAACTTTAGGTAGATTTGCCCCCATTTTCGACATATGGAGGAGAAATCAGGACTGATGTTTGGTCCAGATTATTTGGTAATGTGAGGAGTTCACAGCTCTAGTCTGTAGCCTCCTAAACTACTCACAGAGTGGAGCCGCCTCGAGACGTCAAACTTGTTTAATAAATCCAAGTTAAAATTTAGGATGGTTTCAATTATTACATCTAGTGCTGCAAACTCTCTTGGAAAGCAACACTACAACTTCTAGTCCTTGAGGCTAACATAAGCAACAAATAATAAAAACTGATAGTTAAAATCTCGCCTCCAGTTTTGGCTGAAAAAATAGACAACTTGTGACCACATCTTCCCAACCATTTTTTCATCGAGACTCTTGCAGCCTTCTGCTTTTGTTTTCTACTCACTGCAACATTTTATTACTATCCCTTTTGTGTACATCTGCTTCCCAATGCCGTCATGATAGTCTTAATAATGTAGTGTGAGAGACACCACTACTAACCTTGTAGTGTGAGCATGTCTTAACTTTGAGAGAGAAATATCTGTCAAGTTTCTCCTTATGTGCTGAGATCGGGTTAATTTCACAGTCTGTTTTGTTTTTAATTTCTAACAGCCATAAAGAAAAACTGGCAAACATTCGTCGCAGGACCTGTCAGATGCCTAAAGTTAGTGGTGCTTCCAAACTTGCAGAAAGTTGTTAGACTGCTGTTAAGAACAGTGCTTGGGGCAAATATCTGTATAGTCAACGCCATTTAATTTCTCTTTATTTTTACGAAGCCAGATGGAAAAGCTCACGAAAGCACGAAGCAAATAGAACATTAAAAAAGATGTGGCATTATCTATAGAGCCACTGATAACATATCCATATACACAAGTTACTTTACTTTTATGGTTACATCCAATTTACAACAAGATGTTTGAGGCGTGTATATATTTCTGTGAGGTGATTAAATAGAGCCACGGGACGATTATCAAGTTAATTAAATTTTTTCTGCCATGTAAACCTTGCAGAAGCACAGCTGGCCTAGTGAGAGGGCATTGGAAAGTTACAACGAGGTAGCACCATTCATGGGTCACACCACATCGCTGAACACAAGCCTGAAACACACACACACAGTCACATGACTCACACATGCACATACCAGCACGCCTTGGAGCAGCTCAAGTGAGCATGTTAGTATTGTGTGTTGGTACTGCAGCAACATGCTGGATATCCTCATCTGTCAATCTATGAACCACTTTTTTGGGGTTTCTCTCTGCTTTCTCTCCACCTATTGGAGTGTTTAAGAATGTTTTGAAAGGAATTCTGTAACTTGTTTTTGGGAGGTGGTGTAATAGTTTCAGAGATGAAATGCTTGAAACATGCAACGTGGCCTAAAATAACAATAATCAACACTGCAGCCCCACATTTTCTAATAAAGTTTATTATGAGGCATCATCACGCAACACAACGGTAAAAACTGTCAACTACAAGGTACAAGGACACTGACATTATGCAAGACTCTTGGCTAAGGACCACAATACCTGTCCCTCCAACATTCCCCAGCTTTGACATCATTACCTGAAACTCAGTGACAAACGTATTTCAGGTTCCCTACAGGCACACATAAATCGAGAAACTGAATAAACAAAAGTATTTAAAGCCAAAGTGGACGTCTTCTCTGGTTCTGTAATTCATTTTCTGTTCACAAGTTAAGAGTGAAAAAACATTTCTAAAGTTTTGTTTAAGCTGCAAGTAGAGTCATGCTCATGTGGCGGACCAATACTACGCACTGCTGCTGGAATGCAGCAGAAAGTAATCCACTATGAAACGCAACAACACTCTTGCCTGTTACACTTCAGGTATGAAGGCATAAGGGCACAAGAGAATAGCCTGTTACTAGCAGCTATTGTCCTGAGATCACATTGTAAAATCTCTGCCTCAGGGAAGAAGTTCCACATTTTGACATGTCGCCTGTCAAAACAGACGAGCAGACAAAATACATTCGGTGCAGACAGCGTATCAACAAGAAACCAATTGCAACATCTGGTTCTTGAAGAAAAAGGAAAGAGCCAAATTGCGGGGTATCAGCCTGCATGGTAATGGATTGCTGCATGGTTAAGTGGAGTGTAAAAAACAGAAGATGTAGTACCTCTCCGAAGGCTCCTCGTCCAATCACTTTGAGTATCTCAAAGTCTTCCTTGTGCAGGCGCATCTGCTTCACTTTGGAAGTGAAGGGTTTGGCTGTAGAGAGAAAGAGAACAGAGGTCAAGTTAATTCAAATCTGCCAAAAGTGACATATAAAGGACATTAAGCAAAGAGGACAGAGTCTTTTCTGGAAAATATAACATCAAAGCTAGTATAAATTATCATAAATCTTTGTCATGAAGAATTTAATAGCAATGGAGGGTGTATGTGGGATCTGCTGAATGAATCACAGAATAAGATATGGAAAGCACAGGAAAATAGCAAGTACACCCAGGCAGGGCTATATTTGGCCCTTATCATGACTATCAGGGCTTCCCACAGTATTTTATACATAATGGCCCTGTCTAAAAGTCACAGCGCCTCCAGGAAATTATGCACTTTCATGAAATAATAATGTTATTATATTAGTCTTGTTAAAAGTCAGGAAAAAAATGAGCAACTTAATGAGTGAGGTGATTGCTTAAACCGTCACGTCATCCTCTAATCACACTGATAATGAGATACGATCTGTCCAACTCAAATCAGCACCAGTAACTGAGTGACTGATATAATAGCATGTTCGCTTCAGAGTAATTAATCAGAGCAGCACTAAAGTTTGGAATAACAAAAAGAGATAAAGACAAATGATCCAATCAGTTGCAATCCTATGCAGATGCATGGGAATAAAAAAAAGCATGCACACTGTTTCACTGCAGATCAGATAGTTTTATAATCACTAGCTGCACACATTTTTATTATTAAGTTATTTTATCTGCACATTATAGAGGACGTTCAGAGGCACGCGTAGGCCATTCTAAGGCAAGACAGGATTATTTTGATGACGAAACATATATAAATTTGACACACACAAATGGTTACATTAATGATCAGAGAGGGACTTTAAAGTTCCAATTGACTAAATCAAATTGTATCACTATAAGCTGCATCACACAAGCAATGGGAGTCTGTGATGATCACCGCTGAAGACCAATCTGCTTAAATAAAGCTAGACTATCCCTGATAGTTTTACTAGGAGTGTCTCTCAGTTTTTTTTTAAATAAACAGTTCTGTGACTTTTCTGTGAAAGCCAAAAAATGACCTGTGCTTATGGAAACCCACATTGTTGTATACCTCATATTAACCCACTGCAAACAAACACAGCGTTCCCATAACTCAGGCTCCGTGCCATTCTAAATGGACTCTATCATAGCGTTAGTGACCACCTGGTCCTCTTTATAGCACATGACACCGGACACACAGAGGCCGAATGATAAAGCTAGCTATTGTTGTGCCTGCAGTTATGGTTCCTGGTGGAGAAAAAGGACTTGGGAGGGATCTGCAAGGGTCGCAAACGTTCTCTTACAAAGCCAACCAGATTTCATCTAAAGCAGACAAAGTCAGCATTTCCCTCATTTGTGGAAAGCCATTCAACCACTTCCTGGTTTACATGATCCCAGCATGCCAAGCATAACCTGGATTGGCTGCAAGTTCACCAAGGTCAGCATATTGGTTACAATGATACACTGATTTTCTGATAACATAGAGCAATATAATGAAATCTTTATGATTATAAGTATGACTCTTGCTGTAATGCTATCTTTACTCTTCTTTGATTCTTTATTCTCTTGATAAGCACTTTGTATCCCAGTTTTTAAAAGACACTGTACAAATAAAATTAGGCTTTCTTATTTACTTACTGCCTGTCTACATTTAAACAGTGCTTTAGTGGTTTTCAACTGCAAGATTAGCCCCATTTAGTATTATTAGCATTCAGACAAGCGAGCATTCATGTACAAACACATCTCAGTGTTTGACTTTTATATACAGTAGCCCCCTTGGTTAACAAAAGACAAAATCTCCATCCACTATACAAACATCCTTTTTTGTTTCTGGCTGCTGCAGAATATGAGTATGTTGGAAAGAGAGAAAGAAAGAGAAAAAGCTGAACATCAGCCAATCTGCAATCCCCTCACTGGGCAAACATCATGCTAAACTCATCTGGTTGCCATGACTTTACAGAACCTCTAGTGTTGAAGAAAAAGGCATTCTCCCACTGTGAAACAGGGAAATGCCTGCCGAAATAAAACAAACAGGTCACTCATAGCTCAACAATCTCCCGCTCTCAGTCTTCCTCACACTCCCTCCTGACAGCTGGGCTGGCCTGCTATGACCACAGGGCACAGGGAAAGCGAGGGCCAGTGTAGTTTGCAGTGTCTTGGCACGAATTTCTGCAGCCCAAAAACACACAAGCAACTCATCCGTGACACTGAAAAGGGGGCTGGGAAACACCTGACATGGGAAAAAGGCTTAGTCATATAATTTCTTTTCTTGCAGACCAGCTCACAGAGCAAGCAGACCAGAAACACTGAAGTTATGTCTAGTGGTTGATCAACCATGTTATATTTGGGTTGGTGAGCACGCTTCAGGCAACTGATCAGACTTCACCACAAGTCTGCAAAACATTATGATGAACAGGGCTATGACACAACTGAATTGTTCTTTCGCACAAAGTATTCTTTGCTTCTCCTTTTTTAGGGTTTATTTAACATCCTAACAGTACCATTTCCAATTAAAATACTAAGGCAGGAGGAGAGAATAATACATGGCATTGCTGACCTGGAAAGACCAAAGTTTCACTGTTAGAAACAACATTGTGCATGTAAGTAGCTATGAAGTCTACAGTACAGACAGTCTGTCTCATGTGAACCCCATCTCAATGTGCAAAGACATACTCTTTTTGCATGTAATATTGAAAAATGTGGTTCTGTAAAAGAAATCTGGCCTTCTATAGAGATAAGAGTCTGTGTTTTTTATTCAGGACAGGCTGATTGCATGTTAACAACCATAGTGGCTGGCAGGCAGACAAAGTCATGAGCAAGTAGTCAGATTTACCACCATTTGGCTCAGGGCTGATGGTAATCCTGCTTTCCACGGCACATCTGATTCTTTTCAGATGCATCTCTGCCAGAACACTATTTCATTTCAGAATCTCCGACCTGACATGGCATGTTTGTGGGGGTAAAGATAATATCTAGCAACGAGCATTTTAATTCATGTATCAAAGCTACACAATTATGCCGGAGAAGCAAACGATTTAAATCCAATTTAATGTGGCTGTTTTTTTACTATTAAAGCCCAGGAGTAATTTTCTCTCCACTTTTGCTTTTACAGAGCTTCAGAGTAAGACTTTATATTCAAAAGGTTTTGTCATCCACGGATTGTTTATAACTGGATTCTTACCTTTATTCCAGCTAATGTGCACATAGATATTTTTATGGCTTCAAAATGTATATCATGTCTGTGATATCACAAAAGATATCAGAATCCTTAACTATTTGCTTATTATTTATGCAAATGCAAAGTAAGAGTAATACAATTAAATTGCAGCTGTTTTTTTATAATGGTCTCTTACTTTAGGTATTTCTTTTTGTCATAAGCGTTAACTTAGATATTTTAAAATTGTATGAGCTCAAATTTTGTCAATAGTCAAAATGCATTAAATATGATGACACAACTACAGCTGCTAGTAAACACTGAAGTTTCAATAAATCTCAATATGTCTCAAGAGGTAGGCGTCATTAATTCTTTATTGTGCAATCAAACTTTTATCCCTATTAGCACAATGGGTGTAATCTGCCCTGAAGAGTTAAAATATCTGATGTAGACTCATGTTATTTTTAGATGCAGAACCGTGGACACTGTTGCTGCTTCACATTCAGTTGTCATCTTGACTCAGAAGGGTTTATACGGAAAATCTTCAACAACAAAGTGTTGTTTGGGAGACAACTAGCCCATCTCTTTAAGCTTCCGTGTCCTCCGCCTTGCTTCCTTACCACATCTACTTCATATAAACTGATCTGACAAGGAAGAGTTGGCCACTGGTATCTTTATACCAGGGCTAAAGGCTAAAATACATCCACTTCACCTCTGGTTTAATTCTTAATTACACAAGCCGGAGCTAACAGGGTGGCAGGCCATAGATTTTGGGGGGGATGGAACAGAGTCAGGCTAGCAAAGAGGGAGAAAACCCTGATTAGTAGCTGCACGCTGACTCAGGAGCTCCACTAAACCAGCCACATGAGAAATGTCTTTCATCTCTGAGCCAGGAGCCCACAGGCCCTGTCCACAACAAAGCAACACATACCACCATAGACACATACAAATATGTACGCACACACACAACCAGGTCTAGTTTCCTACATTTACATCCAACACATCATCAAAGATATCCAACGCTGGGCCTTGGTAGAAATACTACATCAAAACAGACAAAACAAATTACAGAAATTGTTTTTCTAGAAAGAAAAAAATAATTGGCCATCACCTCAACAGCAGGCGCACAGCAGCTATTAAGTCACTATTCTGACTTCTGCACACACATAAGTTACTTACTGACTTTGTTTTTGAGGGACAATGTGTAATATTAAAGATAAATCTTACCATTTGATGCATTGTACCAGAGTTGGCTAATTTTCACAATGGTACTTTAGGTCTGGCAGAAAAAATGGTAGCAATATGTAGCAGTAATAAACACTTCATTAATTGTAACAAGAAAATCATTCATTACAGAATCACTTAAATGGATTAGATGCAAAATGCAATCAAAGCAACTGACACAACGCAGCGTTGGGCTCCACGAAAAAACCCCATGAGGTTCATAAACAGCCTATCTTATCTCTTGATAATGTGTACTAGTATGTATGTGTTTTGGAAATACTAGGCCCATAAGTCAGAACACAGGGTCAAAACACCCACACTCAAACAAGAAATGCCTGTACTAACCAACTCCCAACATTAAACCCGGGATCAGTGTGTCTACTTTTTCCATAGCTGAGATGGATTCATATCGACATGCTACATCCCTTTTTTTTTAAAAGAAAAAAATTACCATACAGTTAGGTCATACAACTTAACTCATAAGCAAAATATACAGGTAGACCTAAACACAGCAACTGTTGCTACAACAAGGTGTGGTAGGAACACGTGGCAGCACTTGGGAAGGTGACTATCTGAGCTTTAGCATGACTGGAGCCCTTTGTTTTCAGAGTTTTGCAATG